TACAACAACCGAGTCCACTCCTCCACCCGCCGGACTCCCTTCGAACTCGACACTGGACAGCACCCCAGGATGGGGACAGAGCCCACACGCACGTCCGAGGTGGAAGCCGCTGACGCCTTCTCATCTAGGATGATGAAGATGCAAGAGGAGGCGAAAGCAGCACTGGAACACGCAGTGGACGAGATGGCCCACTACTACGACCGGGGTCGCGAGGCAGCCCCTAAGTACCAAGAGGGTGACCGGGTCTGGCTCAATGCCCAGAACTACATGACAGACCGCCCGACCAAAAAGCTGGACCATAAATGGCTAGGCCCCTTCAAAATCGTCAAAGTCGTCTCCCCGGCCGCTGTCAAGCTCCAGCTTACCGCCCGACAGAAGGGGATACACCCAGTCGTGTCCGTGACGAACGTAAGGCCCCACCACCCAGACGAAATCCCAGAACGACCCCCTGACCCCACCCAGGCCCAGAACTCGTAGATGGAGAAGAGGAATATGAGGTGGAGAAAATATTAAACTCTAAGTGGTTACGCCGGAAACTCTGGTATTTGGTAAAGTTCTCTGGCTGGCCGAACTCCGAAAACGAATGGCTCCCCCGGGACCGGCTGACACACACCCCCGACCAAATCGAAGAGTTCCACCAGGCGCACCCCCAAGCCCCAGGGAGAGAGAGGGAAAACCCCCTGGCCGCTTCGAGACGAAGCGGCTTAAGGAGGGGGTGATGTCAGGGCACACCCGCCTGACCCGCCTCCACCCGGGCCCACCTCACCCGGTTCCCCTTCTCCCACCCTGCACCCCTCCTTCATACCCCTTCCCCCTCTATCCCTCTCCCACTTCCCTTCTATTTCCATTTCTATTTCTATTTCTATTTCTACTTCACGCGGATGACCTTTCCCTTATATCCATGTATTATTGACCCGCCCGCGATGCACACACGACGTGCCTAGCCCCGGACGACCCTGGACGGCTCTAGGGTGCAACCTAGTGCGCGCGCGTGCAGCATACACCCTCGGGATCCCCCACGGGGACACCCGGGTGACTGCAGCTGTATGCGGGGTGACGTGGCGGACCTCATGTGACCCAAGCCGCATGTATATAAACACACCTGGGGTGGGAACCGAAGAAGTAACCTTCTTCTCAACATTCCCACTTCAGGTAAGTAGCATAGTTCTCCTTTTAATAATAACTCAACATTCCCACTTCAGTCTAAGTGGCCAGGGATCGCTGTCCCGCATCGGGGCTGCCAGTACGCACGCCCGATCCATCCCCCGTGAGGTCCTCAGTACCGGACGCTACGCCCGGACCGCCTTGACTGCGGACGCGACCCTGACAAAGTGTCAGTCCATAAATAAGGGATCTCCCCCAGATGTCAAGCTCAGGGCACAGCACTCCACTTGAGTCGCTGAGGCCGCGATCCCACTCTGCTAACCTTGAACAGCGCTTCCGGATGCGCTGCATATTTCCGCCCACATATCCACCAGTGTGCGCTCCAACAGACCTCTGCCACAACCTCTGACCTCAACTCAGACAGAACCAGCCCATCTTCTGACAGTATTTCCATCTCTGACACCGCCACTATGCATAGCCACTACTTGTCCCATTGAGTCCCCCACACCGGGACTTCGCCACTTTTGGAGCTGTCCCTGACACAGCAATGTAGGGATGGTAGATACAGGAGGGGCATGTGGCGTGCATGCCAGTGGTACATTGAATAGAGGGAAAGGTGGTCCATGTGGGAGAAAGAAAGAGCGAAAGAAGGAAAGAACCAAAGGAAGGAAGGAAGGTGCAGCGTGGAGCGGGGTCAGGCAGGGCATGCCCTGACATCAGGGCACACTGTAATGGGTCAATCGCCTTGACTCAAGACAGAGAAGAGGGGGGGTTGTAGTGTGTGTGGGTGTGGTTCGTGGGGCAAGGTTTTGGTCCATGGGCACTACTGGGTCTGCAAAAACCTCAAACAAACACTCACCTACGTCTCTCTTGGACATCAAGGCTGAGGATTATGATAAGAGGGGTCTTAGACGTTGGTAACAAGCTTAGAGGGGGCATTAGGGTCATGGATGGCATCTTTGCCACTTGGATGTAACTACTTTTCACTCTTGATGGGTCTATTCAGTACTAACTTGTTATGTACAAGGTATTTTCTATTTTATATGGATTGGAAATGGAATGAATGGAATGGGGGAATGTTAACAGGCTGATAGGCAACCGTAAATAAGGAATTTCCAATTAGGAACAGAGAAACAATAAAAGAAATATGAATGAATGGGGAATATATGACAATGGATCCAAAATGGGAATTGTAAAGATTAACTCCGCAACACTTCGCCACAGCGCCCGCCTATCCTCCCGTCAGCAACCTCCTCGTCTCCAGCTTTCCAATGAACCCTTATTTGTCCCAATTGGTGCAGTAGTTCCCGAGATATGGCTATTGACAGGTGCTGTCAGGACCACATGAGGCTCTACACCATGCTGAACCATCCGAGTATGGGGTTGCCATTCTGGGAAATGCTCCATGGGTGAAGGAGGAAGGTAGAGCATCACCAATGGGTAGAAAAACAGCTGGGTTTAATGTGTGGTTATGGAGAGGGAATTGGCAGCATGATTGGGTGTGGGAATTTGGCTTGGGACTGTCGGGAATGATGGGGAAAATATAGAAAAATAGGGAATGGGTGTATGGAGTGTTGGATAGTGTGGGAATGAGCAATGGAAGTGTCAGAGGGTATATGGTGTGTGTTGGTGGGCAAATTCCGCAGAATCCGACTTTTTGCAGTGCACAGACTTGTGTCAGGGGACAGCCAGGTATCTGGCCCCCCTTTACTCTAAGCGATATCAATGACGTAACCATTAGCCAAGATTGCGTGAGATATTTACATAGTTAGAACGCAGGTACTATTCATTGCGCTATTATCACTATCACGTCACCCCTTACCCACTATCGCCCACCCGTCCGCATCATCCATCCTCCTATCCGATGTCATACTTCTATCGGCTACCATGTATTCCCAGTGTAGCCACGCTCTCATGAGTTAGCAGAACTCATGTATATAAGGCTCTTATGCCAGCTAGGCTAGCTCCCTAGCTTTGATATTGACTAGTTTCCCAGGGAGATCTTTACACATGAACTGACATGCGGACTCTGACAACTTGTCCCCACAACAATGCCCTACCTGACCCTGCTCCACTGCCCCCTGCTCTATGTGACCCTGCATATATAATAACAGCTGGAGTGGGAACCAAAGAAGTAGCCTTCTTCTCACATTCCCACTTCAAACTAAGTGGTCAGGGATGCTCACCCCACAATGGGACTGCCACTACACATAGCCACTTCTCATCCCATCAAGTCCCCCATGCCAGGACTTCGCCGCTTTAGGAGCTGTCCCTGACAACTTCCCACTTCAGCTTAAGTGACTGTCAGAGACCAGATTCAAGACGAGGGAGAGTCTCCATGACGGAGGGCTTTGGCCTCAGCGACTTCTGCCAAGAGCGCTGTGCCTAGTGACACGTCTGTGCCCTAACTTACTGACTGGCAATCAGAACCGAAGGGGGGGTAACTCTAGTTGATTTTATTACTGGGGTGTAACCTATGTACAAGTGGGATATATATATGGTTACAGCGAAGACGGGTCCACAATTGGCGGAGCCGAACGGAGCGGAGCTAACGGGGTTTAAACATTAGCCGACTGAATATTACCGACGAGTCGGGTCGCAGGGTTAGCGGAAAGGCAGGCGATAACCCAGAAACGGAAAGGAGGGATAGGCCCGAAGGTGGGCTCTGCAGGGCAGGCGAGTGTATTGTCCAGCGGAGGCGGGAGTGCGCTAGCGGACATCGGAGCTGTCCGGAAGTCTTTGGGGCTCCGTACTTAGGGAGGTGTAGGTAATAAATTGAAATGAGGGGGTGGTGACCATCGAGGGGTACCGAGAGGATTGCGGAATACGGGAGCTCTGAGGTTAGTGAGGGAGGAGCGGAGTTAGACCGGAGGGATCGGAGGAACCGGAAGTCGATGGCCAGGGATGGATATGACAGTGACCAGGGGCACTTGTCTGCACCAGGCCCATTGCTATGCATGCCCACACCACACCCTACTGGACCCTCAGCACCAGGCAATTACACCTGGCACCCTCAACTCCGGGTCGGTCCCTGACATGCACCCAGTCTGTCAGAGACCAGATCGAGATGAAGGAAGGTCTCCATGGTGGAGGGCTTCGGCCTCAGCGACTTATGCCTGGAGCGCTGTGCCAAGTAACATGTCTGTGCCCTAACTTACTAACTGGCAACCAGAACTAAAAGGGGGTAAACTCTAGTCAATTTTATTACTGAGGTGTAACCTATGTACAAGTTGAGTATATATAGTTACAACGAGGGCTGGCCCGTAAATGGCAGGGCTGAGCGGAGCGGAGCTAATGGAGTTAAACATTAGCCGATTGAATATTACCAACAAGTTGGGTTATGGGGTTAGTGGAATGGCAGGCAATAACCCAGAAACAGAAAGGAGGGATAGGCCCGAAGGTGGGCTTGCAGGGCAAGTGAGTGAATTGCCCAGCGGAGGCAGGAGTGTGCTAGTGGACGTCAGAGCTGTCTGGAAACCTTTGGGGCTCTGTACTTAGGGAGGTGTAGGTAATATATTGAAAAGAGGGGGTGGTGACCATCGAAGAGAAGCGGAGGTGGTTGCGGAATACGGGAGCTCCGAGGTTAGTGAGGAAGGAGCAGAGGTAGTCCGGAGAGTTCAGAGGTAGTGGAAGTCGATGGCCAAGTATGGATATGACACAGTCACAGCATACCTCACACAATGAAGTCCCTGATCCCCCCTGGCTGGCAGACAATCTTGTGATCAAGGCATCACCTGCATGCTGGCTAGCTCCAGCCCTTGACCCAGCTGTGACCATTTTCTTCATACTTTACAACTTGGGATTTTCTACATTAGTTCTCAGATTGGTAGAAGCTGCACCATTCCCATTGAAGGATGAATCACTGTATCAAAGATGCTTTTAACAGACATTGACTCCCCAACAAGAAATCTTCCTTCACTACCTCCCATAATCAGACATCCAGTGAGACTGTGAAAAGTCCCCCCCAAAGCGATCCAGAGGTCGCATGTGTCCAATGAGAGGCTCCTTGGATGATGCCTGAGGTACAACAATGTCAAGGAAGGTCTTGAATTCATTTGTGATTCCTGCTGTTCTTAGTATGGGATAAGTGTTTTCACCTGCACCTCGGGCCGAGATCAGGTAGCGGTTGTATAAGTCCATTTCCAGCTGCTTGCCTTGAGCCTGTGCCTTCAGCTTCTTCAAAACTGTTTCATCTTTTGGATGTTTCTCTTTGTGTTGGGACAAATTATCCCAGGCAGACTCACATTCTGCCTTCAGTTCTTGATATTCCGAGGGCTGGAAATGCTTGGGGGCTTGGTATGTGACCATTGCAATTCCCTGGTACTTGGACTCAGTACCAAGCTCCATCAGCAGGGCAAGATAAGGAAGGGGGCTTTGCGATCACGGATGATTCCGGCAGGTCGCAGGTTGTTCTCAGCACTTGTATCTCCTTTTTTGTACTTGACCTGGACAACAAGTCCCGACAGCTTGTCAGGATCAAAAACATCTTCAGGCTCGACAGAGCCAAAATAGATGGGGCATAAGAAATCAATCGATGATTGATTGAAACAGCATTGCAATATGGTGCCCCGAGCCCAGAGGTTAGGAAGTAAGTTCCTGAGGAGCATTGGTTAGCAGACACATAGACAAGCATGCAAGAAATATCTACCGAGGAGGCGTCTCAGGTAAGAAGTCCCTTGTGACAGCCCAATGTGTGAAGTTGACAAATGCATTACTGAAAGATTCCTGGAAGGCATCCCAAATAATGGGACCAAAAAGACTTTGCAGGAAGCCCAACAGGGGAACAAGATCTCGCAGGTTACGGTGTCCTTCCTGACTTGGGGCAGCATAGTCACGTGCAGTGAGAAGGAGGAAACGGGCAGCAAGTTCACCCATAAGACCTTTTTCGATTAAACCAGCATGGCACAAATCTTGGCTCAACGTCCTCAGGACTTGAGGCAACCTCCCAGAGGCCATGGGGTCAGGATCATACAATATCGATGCCGCACCTAAAGCCAGAATTGGTTCCGATGGTGAATGGGTGAAAAACATCGCGTTCTCAGTCGAGATGCCTGCGAGGAGTCTCATATGATGGGAGACACTCCGATTAGCCAACTCGATGGCCTCAGCATTTGACAGAACAGGATCGAGGCAAATCCGCTGTGCAAGCACAGCAAACACATGATCCCGACTGCCGGCATTAAATTCTTCACCAGCGATGAGCTTCCAGACAGCAAGATCCACCAGTCCGTCACCCACCTCGGGCGACATCGCACGCCACCTGTTAGAGGCAAGTAGATAGTTGTCCCTGCGATCAGGAAGAAAGGGCATACAATGGCCGCCCGTATTGGGCGAGATGGTGCAATGTTCCAAGATGACCAATAGTCGAAATTTTCGAAGTTTTGGCCTCCTCGATAGCATACTGATCAAAATCGAGAGCAAAGTAGGGGGGCTCCAGTCGACGCACTTCCTTTCGGAGTCTTGCGGATATCACTGCAAACGATGAGCTTTCGCCAGGTAACTGTTTATATGCTCACTGTTTTGAGGAGGTGCAAAATCTGTTAAGCTTGATTTTGTTCCCATAAAGATGTACCACATTTTTATGGAATCATCTTGATTTTGCAATAAACGTAACATAATCCAGAAACATTTCCCCAGCTCGTGAGCTTCATCGAAATATGTCACGCATAGTGGGTTAGAGGTAAGGCTCTTGATGAACTCCACGAGGTTGCCAACGGCTGCTTTTGCATGTCGATGATAAAAGTCTCTGGCGTGCCCGATTGCGTCATAATTCTCATCTTCGCGCTTGGGGCTCTTCTGGGTCGTAGAATAGTCATTTTTTAACTAAACTAATCATCAATCCCAGCGGAGAGAAAATGAACAGAAATTTACCTCATTGGCCCGCTCTATCACGACTCCGAAAAACTTCCTCCGATAAATTCTTGCTCTGCCTCCCTCCATCATCTCGTGCCAATGTCCGAGGACTTCTGCTTTCTCGCATTTCTCCTCAGTAAGAATGTTTTGGAGCGAGGTCAGCATTGTCTCGTGTGCGGCTGCGAGGAAACTAGTAATGCCCCCCAGTGCGCTAATGCTCCAATCATTATCCCCGCACTTGATCTTCAGGGATTGGAAGTAGTCAAACACGGGGGTATCTGATAACGGATATCCCGGATCCCAGGCGCCACGAAGACAGATGGGGAGGGTAAAGATTTGTGTGCCAACCTGGGGCAAAATGGTCATGTTATCTTCCAAGACCACGGAAGATGGACGCAGGCACACCTCCGTGAGCATTCGTGATTTTCCGGTCCCAGAGCTTTGAATAATTGAGATGGCTTTGGCATAACGTGGTTTCCTGGAGTTGCCCGGCTCCTTGTCGATCTCCTCGAGATGCTGAATGAATGCGTAAGCAGCATCTCCAATGAACCGTGTACGGTAGGCCTCAGCAAGGCCTGACAACTAATCAGAACTCTGGAAAAGGTGGTGATTCTCAGGATTACCTCTTGCAACACCAAACCTGTAAACGAAGAGACGTAAGGGCAGATTGAAGTGGATGTTGTATATGCGTACTTATTATCGATCATAATATAATTGGATCTCGGAGATTCAGTAACTCGCAGCTTCAATGCTGCTGTACTGTCGATTGAGCAGTGACCGCAATGCTGGTTGGTAGTAGTACATACCATACTCGATCAAAGGGGTCCACTCAGAGTTTTTGAGAGTCTTTACGATTAGATCGACACATTCCTTGCGCTCGGCAGTGCTGAAATTACTCAGGAATGCTTGTAGTTGGGCAACGTGAACGACATCTGCACGGGCCACATTCAGTCCGGCGTGAAGAGTACTCATAACGCTCAGAAAGAGTGCATCCCAAAGACTCGTTACGCCCGCCTCAGCTTGATTTAGGAGGGGAATCCATGTAGCCCTACTCGTGTTCATGGTACTGGACATCACAGTCTGAAGCACCGCTTCCACTTGACCCTTGCGCAGAGGTCCAAGTCCTGCCTTGAGTCTTGCCTCAACCGTTTCCATTTGATCCTCGCGCAGAGGTCCGAGTCCTGCCTCACTTGTTGTTGAGGAAGAAGAGTAGGACTGGACAGTTTCCATCTTAGTGTTGCAGCGAAATGTGTCTCCGGCTGACTCCGCATGGTGGCGTGACAAGTAAGTTACTCTGCACACAGAGTCACTAACCACTCCCGATATTACGCAATTGGCGACGCTGAAAATTTGTCATCATCTTCCCTTTTCCTTCTCCCTACATGCTTACTTTTACGCCTGTCCCTTCTCTCCCTTTACTTTCCTTCCACCATTTCCGCTCCCACTCGGCTCTTGTCCTTAAAGTCTTGGCTTAATCATATGGTTTTTTTCCCTCTTGCACGCAACAATGTCATGCATGCATTAAAAGGTGTCAACATGCTTGGTGATGTTCCTATGTCTGACCACAGGTATTCCATGACATCGTCTGTCCTTGTGCATGGTAGTCCGTGAAGGCATATGCTGGTTCCACTGTGATTTGTTGCCATACCACCTTCTTTTTTGCTTTGCCTTTATATAATTCCAGACTCCGAATGACTGGAAAAATTGGATTGTGTTTGTCAGATGTCTGCATTCCAATTAAACACATATTTTTATAGCCTAAGTATATTCGCGAAATGAACTGAAAAAAATAGAAATAGATTCATGCTGGGACAGGTGAAAGGAAACATGTGCAGAGTCAAGCAAAGCGCGAAGCGCAAGCACTCTAGTATATCAAAACTCTGCAAAAATCCACTTGTATGGATGTGTCTTAGCTGTCAAGTGCTCATGCAAGATAGCGTCAGCCGGTTGTGTGGTTCACGTAACCCCGCACCGACTCATCGCGGACAATGTCCCCACGTTTCAGTTGCCCCACAGCATCTTTCCAATGTCAGCGGGTTGGGTTGCGGGTGGGACTGTGACACAATTGGATTCAAAGGACTCAGCGAAGCCGCAGCTAGAGCAGTGCTGGCTTCTAGGCATCTCAAAGTAGCTAACTTCCGGTCAACTGAACCAGATTACTCACAGTTCATCTCGCCGCTATCACTTCTTTAATTCACTGTGGAAGTATTAACTTATCGGGCCAAGGTGATTTCAACAGTCCTAACTTTGAAATTAACGAAAATGCATGGAAAGGACGAATCGAGTTTTCCGGATCCAGATCTTCCAACCACGATCCTGGATATTAAAAGATCGACGACCAACATACCCAAGTTTGACGATGGATTGCATAATGAATGCCTTACCTACGCATTAATGAAGGTCCAGGTTCAATTCAGAATCGTGCGAGAGATTTGCGAGGTATGATAATGACCAAACGCGCTTCTACCTCTAGATACTTAGGAACTGAGCGATTTTTTTCCACCCATCGCTACGAGTGCTTTGGGGCTTACAAGAACCTCAGAAAGATGATTAAATGGATGGAAGATCTTAATTTCGAGGGCTAGTATGTTACTGCACTATGGCCGGTATGGAAGGTGCAAAACCGAATTGAACTGCAAGTTATATTCAGCACTAATACGATTGCTACGGCAGCAAATAGCATCAGCGTAGGATCAGGATGGGATTCCATCGCAGTAACACTCTGGGGATAAGCCTGGACGGACGGACATACTCATCCATCGTCCAATCACGGATCCGGTTGTAGTCGCAATGATGTGTGCGATACTACACCCATTCTCATTCACGAGCTTCGATGGGTGAGTGTTTGCAAAAGGGAGCACATGTAGGATGGGACGCTCCATCGAATTCCGCAAAGAACTATGTATACACTGATGGGCAAGCGGCCTCACGCCCCACACCCGTACTGGAACGTTCGAATTTTTCTTTGCATTACATGATGGTTGACCCTTCGCACGATTTCCCCGACCCGTTACCAGGACTTCTAATCATTGGCTTAATACGTGCCTACGCGCGGTACTCCGTGGGGCTACATGGCTCAACTCCAGTCTCTATTGCCCACCAATACTATCCTTTTCAAGTCTGAGGGGTGGTGTATACTTCCTGCAAGATATTTTTCTGCTTTTTGCTACTGCTAGAAGGGTCTGAGGCATTTGGACTACCCACAGCTCATCCGTATAATCCCGAAGGTGAAATTATTTCCTGCATGCATAGACTCATGGATCAGTTGATTGGAAGTCCTTCAAAAAAACAAATACTGCACTGGCAAATCATGAGGGTGACGTTCTGTAGGTGAGGAGTCCGCGTGCCTTTCGGGCTACTATGACACGATTGCGCTGCATGATATGGAAAAGTGTTTCCCTGGTCAATGCTTCTTCATGCGTATTCGATCCCGACCTTTCATGCGAGCAGACAGGGATGTTGACACTGATACCCTTGCATCATGACCTGACCTCGACTCCCGAATCTTTTCTCTGGGGCGGGCGCCCACTGCGACACATTCGGGCTCATACAACAGTCCTCAGTGTGAAGAAAAATGCCGCTCATTTCGCATTCACACAAAGCAATACCGATCAGTGGAGTGGCGTGGATATCTGTATCGGAGCTTCGACATACGCACATGTTCTCGGGATTCATTTTCTGAACAAAATTTCCCCTCCCCTCTCGTTCCCGAGAAGCTTTTATTCCCGTGGTGACTGCTCCGGCATATCGATGGTGCTTATCGAAAGCTGCTAGTGCCACGGGGGCGACAAAAACATTACTCGATTAAGCTAGCACAGCCCGTCCGGTCGCTTCGCTGCAACAATTGGCGATAGCGGCCCCGTTTGACGATTCGCCAATGCGAGAGGATACCGTCGATGACCGCTTGCCGCCTCTGAACCGTGCCCCTGGGACATTCCTGCCGTCCTTATCGGTAAAATAGCTTTTGGCTTGTGATTACAGGCCAGCGACACGATGTGTTTGCATTGACAACTCCCCTAACTTTCAACATCCCTTCCTTTTTCTATCACTAGTGCCGTCCCTGCATGGCCCTGAACTGATGCAAAGGGCTTCCACACCACGTATCCTTTCCCCCTCCCTTCCCACCCCTTCCTTTCCACCCACCCCTTCTAGAATTCGAATATTTCGTTCCCGCTGCGCAGCATGCAACGGGTCGTTTTTCTTTCCTTTCGGGTCTCCTTCGCGGAGATTCGATGTTTTTTCTTTCTTTCTTTCCTTCTTTCGCTTTTGAAGAGTTTTGATTTCGGCCCCCGCCATGCCATGCCACCATGAGCATGAGAACCGCCGCTATCAACCTCAACGTGTTCGGGATTCACCACTTTATATAGATAAATGCTTTTGGAACTGCCGGCAAAGCAACGCATGATGTTGATGAATCATTTCTCAGCATCAACCCTTCCTATCGATCCTGCCCGTGGGGTGTTCATGTCCATTTTCGGGTTTACACTTGTTTCATCCATCAATCAATTTTACCCTCACTGCCGTATTGCTACCGCCTATACCACAACACAACGATAACAACAACAACGAACGCTAAGTACCCCCCCCCCCCCCGTTCCCTGTTTCATCTTTTGCTGCCGGAGTTGGGTCGGCATGATGTATCACCAAAGAAATAAGGTGATGGTGGCAAATGAGGCAGACCGGCGCTGTCATGCCGTGGGCGGACACGTACACACGGTGAAGCTTGTCTGCATGGCACGGGAGATGGTACCCGCCCGATACGGTTGTATTCAGTGGTACCCGTACCATAACCAAGATATAGCATCAGATAAGCCGATCATACGCGAGTTTCTGATACTCGCTCATGCATATGATTATGTACATGATACATATTTTGAAATTGTATATGATTTTCTCTTCAGGGCTAGAAGCAGGCCAATCATGACCAAGAGATATGTTGAAGCCAGCGCTCTGAGAATACCAACATGGGAGGGTTGTACTGGACGCGTCGTGTGAACAGTTGCTCTTACGCTGCGCACGCAAGCCCTCCGTGGCATATGCACTTTTGATGAGATCGTACGTACAGTGTGCCTAAGGGTTGCACAATATGCAATATTTTCAGTGATGGTGATATACGTTTTGGATGCTAGTTGGGGGTTGAAAGGGGGGGGGGGGCACTGATATGGATCCAATCTCCTGAGGCCGGCGATCAGATCATACACATGCGTGCATACGTGGACTGCGGCAGACGTCCCCGCGCGGGTGCGACGATGTGGTAGTAAACCACTGTGCAGGGGCGCCGATTTCTGTGTGGATGGCTTTTTTGGGTCAAATTTTCTGGGGCTCTGGATCTTCTCGAGGTGATATGAATGTCGATTTGGGTAACAAACCCAAGTAGGTGATTTGTCGCGCGGGCATGATGCGGGAACGACAGAGAGGTCTAGGCTATTTTGGAGATATTGATATATATTGATATATCATGATAAGGCAAGGTACGCAGTAGCCGTGGCGCTCCGTAAGTAAAAAAGCGCACGGGCCCTGCTTTCTCAATTCAAACATGATACACGATAACCAAAATAGCGGGAGCGCCAAGATGGAATCCGGACGTGATAGGCCTATCGCCCCTGTTCTATAAATGGACGATGATAACGGAAGGGGCTGGACGAGCGCTTATTCGCGTGGCCACTGGTCCGAATATCGCATGAACGTCCATTGGGACTTGGGCACAGGAATGATAATGCGTGCAGGCGGGTATAAAATAACCGGTGGCGAGAAGAGAAGGAGATGGCGTCGAACGATATCAACGATGATAGATGCACATACATACAGATAAAACGCTTGTGCGCTAAGCGTCAATGACGGTAATATGATGTGGTCATGATTGGTTCTGATTGGACATTGGCCTCGCTAACGTAGGTATTACTGCACTATATGCTGATCATGCACGGACTTGGCAGTTGGGGTGAACAAGGTCAGCGCTAAACGTGGGCAGACAGAGAGCACGACGACTGGATCATGCGCTGGCCAGCCCCGCGGGCGTCGCCAAAGGGACAGTCAGACAGCACTATTGCGATGGACGCCGTAATTCGCTTTTCCCGGGGATCTCATGATAAGGCCGTCTCCAGTGTACTGGAGGCTCCAGAGCAGTGGCATCGTTGACCGAGGGAGCTGAGTGATACCACGCGGAGTTGTCCGAATTCTATTAGTTCATATCTGGAAATCCCCGCAATCTGACACCCCAACTGATAACGGTATCAGCTCCTAAGTGCGTTTACGTGTGTATGTTCGTTTCTCCTGTTGGCGAGATCGAGACAGTACGCACTTGGACTACTACGATGTTCCCGCTGGTCCCAACAAGTTCCTCCCCCTATCGGCAGCCCCCGCTCCCGCGTGCATGACGATAACAACTTACCAAGTACCTAGTCCAATCTCGTCACGTCGAGCTCGATTTCCCCGATGATCGGCCTCCCCATCCGTCAACTTGCCTGGAACACACCTACATTGTAGTCATGCACTTTGGAACAACTTGTCTTACACCACTTTCTTCGTGCCTTCGAACCCTAATGAAATTTCATTCATCCATCGATCTTTTCCCATCACCCGAAGGCAGCTAGCTAGCTGCGGTGCCATGGATGCAACAAAATTAATCCCGTTCATTACTACTAGTAGTACTGTTATGGTGAATTCCAGTAGCAGCTTGACCAATATTCGCCCTGCAGACTGATCATTTCGGAGCATCGGTAACTCAAACAAAGGGTCGAAGGGGTGTGGTAAGGTGGATAATGGTTGCAGATCGCTCGATAAGATGGGATTGCAGCATGTAAGACATATACAACGGTCACAGGTTCATACTTGACCAAATGGTTTATCTGGGTCGGATATTTTGATTTCTTTGGGTAGTGAGTGATATATGACCGCGGCCAGATGACCATGCCGTTATATAGAGAAAGGGGAGTACGCTTATTAGGAGTAGGAGGAACGGGATGGATGTAGGCGGGATGTAGACAGACGACGATGAGAGTGAGGGTTGGGGGGGATTTACCATCCACACTCTCCTCCGCGGCCCTTGCACACAATCTTTTCTTTTAATTCGCTTTTCCCACCTTTTTTCTCTTCCAATTCTTCCAAATGTAGTAAAAATGACGTCGGCGAGTAACAAGAAAAAAAAAAATATGTGTAAGAATTTGAATTCAGTTTTCAGTTATCACAGGTCCCCCCTTTTCCATTTTTGCTTTTCCCGCTTCCCGATTTGTAAAACACTAACACGAATTGAAATTTGCAATTCTGGGACATCCTATCTACTTCAATTAAAATAGTGCCCTTTTTTCCCTTATCTATCGAAGCGGAATTGTGCTAAAATTTAAGAAAAAGAAAAAAAAAAAAGGAAATTATCGATTATTTTTCCTGCCTCACCTCCAGATTCGTTCATAAAAGCGCTCTTTCGCGCGTCTCCTCTTAATTTTTTTCCCATCTCTCCCCCAACTCTGACGTTACCTCCGTTCCCCGCATTACCATCGACCACGACAACGGACCACGACTCGCTTCCTCCTCGTCTTTTACGAAAACGGGAAAAACACCCACTTCCCCGCCACTCGACTTACTTTTCTTCGTGTAACAAACAAAATCAAAACCTGAGCGCGCATAGCTAACTCGCCAGACTAGACTATAACACACTCGCCTATCTCCTCCACGTCTACGGAAGTGCTAAAATAGAACCAAACGGGGAAACGCAATGTCGACCATGACTTCTCGCTCGATCCCAGTACCCATTCCCCGTCAATCATCATCATCATACTCTCGCACTCACTCGCATACAGCAGCGGCATCAGCGCAGCAAGTCGTGCCTTCATCCCCTCCTTCGCCATCCCTTTCTACCTCTACCATTCTTTCATACGCCACTTCCCCTTCCGCGTCCCCGCTCATACCCAACACTGAAGTGCCTTCTAGCCTCAAAAGCGCATCGATGAATCAGCCTTCATATCATCTCCATTCTCCTTCTTACTCCTCTTCCTATCATCATCACCAGCAAATCCATGACCAACGCCAGCACCAACGCCATAATCATCATAACCAGCATCGTTCACCTCCTAGTACCCAACTCCCACGTAGTAGTGCGCGTCCTCCTGTAAATGCAAACCAGTTCCCCCGTTCCGACGTCTTGAATAGAGGTACTGCGCCCAATGAAGAGGCGTCGGATGATGAAGATGCCGAAGCGGGCGAACCACAAGTTTTTGTGCCTCGCTCGAGCATGGATAAGAGTGGAACAGTGATGGGAAGACCGGTGTTGGATGTAGGTGGGAAGCCAGGAGGACCAAGCTCCAGGGGGAAAGCAAGTTCGAGCAAGACGAATATGGCGTTGGATATTTGGCTTGAGGTGGCCGACCAACATCGAAGGATGGATAAAGTCATTGACGGATATGGACGTGAGTGACCCTTCACCCCTTCGTCGGCCCCATTTACTGACCTTTTTTTTTTCTTCTCCTTTTTCGGCACTTTGGTGAATTACCTTTTTTTCCCTCGGTGTGGCGATGACGATAATAGTGGACAGCTCGAATAGAACGTACTCTTCGACGAGCCTGGATTTGGATTTGGACTCAGATTTGAATTTTCGTCCTTCCGGACCGAGTACGAAGACAAGGACGAGCGTAACGAATACGTTCAGATTCTTGCACTCTTTGGAGATGACTTCACCCGAGTTCTTACAGAGGAAAGAGCACCTCTTTGTGAGTTGCTTACAGTCTCGTTTCTCCCTCTCGTGGATTTTTACTAATCACCCCTTCGGTTATTCCCATTCCCTATCTAGCCTTCTCCTTATGAAGTGGGAGTACCGAGGGAGATGTTATCCTCTTCATCTTCCACGTCATCGCCTTCAACGTCAACATCCACCTCAAGTCAATCGTCAGTAGCGGGATCGGCATACTTTTCTTCCTCTTCGTCGTTCGCAGCAGGACGTCGTTGACCATGAAACCGACGTGAGGTTGTCGTGACTGTGTGCCTCTCTACTCCATGTGCTCCCTTTTTTTTGGTTTTACATAAAGCAAAGTTCTACAATTCGTGTTTTTTATCAGAAGAATTTCAGTGCGACAGTACTATAATCCCTATCCCTACTCTACCCTATCATACCTAAGTACCCATCCATAGTATATTCTCAATGTGTTGGCATTCGTGCGTGTTATCTACAAGAAAACCACGTTCAGCAACCTTCCTTTTGTATAGTGCTGACTAGTTGTTCTTGATTCCGATGCTCTTATACTTGCAAGACTTGATGCTGATTCTATATATACAATGCAAACACCCAACGTATGACGATCATAGTGTGGATGTATTTGAACAAGCGCCCGTGCGGCGCTCGATTGCATTAGTTTGCATGAATATGCGACACAAACCGCAGAGTTGTTTCTCGCCAACTCCACTCCGATAAATGGATATACGCACTCGTTTCGACCTGTTGTGTGTCCATCATTGCGCAATGGACCACCCGATGGCGTGATTATGGCGCGCTTGACGTGAGTCACCGTGACGGCTCTTACGGTACATACGGACGGACGGACACGGCACGGCATGGGCTATAGTATGACGACTATCACTTTACCTATTTGGTGCGTTTAGATGAGGGATAAGGGAATTATCGATCCCGCACTGCCTGCTCGCTGCTCGCGTGAGTCGCGGATCCGGCTCAGCTCACGATCGGCGCAGGTGACATGACTTATCAAAGGGACAAAAGAAAAGATGCTAGGTGTGTGTGCATACACACGGATGCGCGGAGACGCCGACGCTTTGTGTGTGAATTGGGAATTTTCCCGATGGCGCTCGATTAGCCGATCTACCCTTCCTTTTGCCTGTGCCTCTATCGTGCGCGTGAGCATGCACACGTTAGGTATCTTTTTGTTTTTTGTTCGGTGAATTGTTTTGTGGGAATGGACGGATGTGACCGTTAGGAAGTAGAAGGGGGGAGAAGGAAAGGGGAAGGGAAAAGGAAGGCTAATCCTCCTGCTGTATGAGATCTATCTCAGGGGGCCGTGCGTCCTCGTACATGCGTGCAAAGGCAAAGGGCCAGTGATTTCAGGGAACTGAATGGAAGTGAGACATTGGAATGAATTGGGCCCAAGAGAGTACGCGGAGGAAGTACATGTATGGGAGGTATCGAGGTGGGTTTGGGATCTGGGATGAGGGGAATAAACAATGGTGTGGGTGTGAATTGAATGATTTGATATGTGCCGTGCGCATGGGCGGAGTTGCTCGATCCGGTAAGCTCATCTGACTTGGTTTGTGATAGGTAACCAGGGGTTTAGATTTATTTTGTTTTTTTTTTGATGGGTTCTAGAGCCTTTGGCTTGGGGGCCTGGGGGTATGGCTTGGGCAGAGTGGGGGCTAGCGCGTATCTATGTGTGGAAAATCCGGATCCAGATTCCAGTTCTGGAGGAACGTGCACATAAGATGCGCGTGATTGTTTTGATCGAGAGAGATAGCAGTACTAGTTGTGTATGAGATAGATATGAGAATGCGTCGTTTTGGCGGTAGATAGGACTAGAATGCTTCCGTTTGATGGTATTTCTGTCAAGGCTTGGGCGCGCGGGACCCACTTTCCGCGATACGATATCGAGGATAAAGTTAATAGATGATTGTCAAGCGGCGTTGCGCCAGTTGGCAATCAAGTGTCTTTTTTAGCGAAATTTAGATTTGGGTCTTCGCTTTTTGATGCGAATATGAGAGCGGAAGTTTCCAGGTTCCCTGGAATATGTATCGGTGCTTATCTGATGTGGGATCGATGATCATATCCACAGCGCCCCTCCCCTGCACTGTGCGTGAATAAGATAAGCCCCTGCTAAGCTCAACCCCCCGGGTACGGGCCCCCGCCATGACAAGTTTTAGGCTGAAAAACGAGGGATTCGTGAGGCCAGAGCACGCATGTGCAGTGTGTGCTTCGCGCCAGTCAATCAATTCTTCTCATCATCGGGTATATCGCCAGGCCAGTTCGATGGTCATGTGCGTGTGAGTGGGGGCCCGCCTTGGACATCTTCTGTCTTACATCGTGTACATGGGTTCACCCGACATAGAATTCGGTTGGGAAAAGTCCAAGGAGAATGTTTGGTAGTTCCCATTGTTAGACTCATGTTGAGCAGATTGCCTTCGATTAGACAAGATTCCAGACTGCGAAGACGCCCTCAAGAAGCTTAGGCTGAGAAACAAAAGTCCGCATTTTCGTGTGATGGGGGACCCAGACCCTCTCGGCTAGTGTATAGCCTCATGCGGCTACGATTGTGAGAGAGGGAAATTCCTGCCCGACAGCCGACAAGTCGGGGTTTGCTGCTGTGGCTCCGCGCGTGAGCAACCAACCCGAAAGTACCAGATGGAGCTTACTCGGATTGTTCACGTTGATGTGGGAAAATGATCAAGGATGCGTGACTTTGTAATCTGACGCCCACTCATCTCCGCCATGAACGTCTTTTTGGGGGTTCAGCCTTGGGGATCTAGTCCTAGAATGAGTTTTGGCCTCGACCTTTATCTTATCTTAATACAACTGCCGCCCAATAGGCGGATTTTTTCTAAAATCACTCGTGACCCAGTCTTTAGATTGCGACCCTTGATCCATGCAGCACAGCTAGCGCTGGGCTGCGGATGGCTGTATGTATTGGCCAGGAGATCGATTCATCTTTCACGTCATTCGAACGTGCGAGGATCTCTCTGATGCTGGTGCTGGAATTGGCCTGGTGACCCATCAGTGCTATCACTGTCCCGAGGCCTCATGCCCTCAAGCGATCTTCTTGCAGTGCTAGAGTCGTACGAATATGGGACTTCAGTCCCAATGACGGTTCGTCGATCACTCCATTTGTGGCTCTAATCTGAAATAGCTGTGACTCGCACGGCTAATGTGCATGCTTTACGTTACCTGCCCTACCTGGGAATAGGTTTGAGGCGTAAGTTGTGATGATTTGTACGAGGGACGTGTGATTAGCAGAACAATACATACTGGCGTTCAGCACGAGGCAACTGACTCTCTCCAGTCAGGTTCAATGATACTTGAGGAGGCATTAGTTTCGAACGTGCGCTCCCTTGGTTCACTGTTGGTCTCTGAAATTGTCGCGCGCAACGACTCGTGGCTTTCTCGGCCGTTTGACGCTGAGGTTTGACGCAAATTATTGACGTATTCTCGCACGTGATTAGTTGGTTCGATAGGGGTGCTTTGAAGCACATGAGGTTGTGCAGGTACCCGGTGCAACGAAATGCGGTGGCTTGAACCGCGTCGACCGCTAAGGCTGTCCTCGTCGTATGATGGACCTAATCCAGCTGCAGGGGGCTTTGGTGATTGCGCCGTTCATCAGAGCGCTTCCATTCTTGGTTCGGCTCTCACACATCGTATTGGAAACCTCATGACCTACCAACATCAGAGCCTAGTCCCATGTTGTGATGTTCTGCGTAGAACACCTCTGGGGAAATTTTCCATAAAGAGTGTCGCGTTGATTTTGTGCATTGTTCCTTAGGCCTCTTAGTCCTGGGATTTGACACATGGACACTTCGGGCTTCCCGACCCGATTGCTTTCCGACAGGGATTCGTATTCCCTTACTTGGAAGACACTCATCACCTCGTCTTCATAACATTTTTAGTCAAGTTACCCAGTGACTATTGGACATCAGGGCTATACGCTTTTCAGAAACAAAATATTGGTTCTAGATCCACGGGGTTAATATCCGCCTGAATAGCTGTTCAACTTCGCAAGTTTTATCGCTGTCGTGTTCACGAACGTGCGTGCGCCATAACGATTCTCGATCTGCATTAGATGTAGATCTGGGAGTGATAGGGGAAGTTCGATCCAGAGAGCTGGTAATTTAGTATGATTCCTGACTTCCACAACCAAATCCGCGTAACCATACGGTTTGATTGATCGCCATACCTGAGGGCCTTTGAACCTTGTTTCCTAGCAATAGAAGCTGATCACCTGCTTAAGTTTCTAGAACGTTTTTCCTGCGTCATTGTGGTCCTCTTCGCATTAGTTGACCGGATCGCAGTGCATGGCAGTGTACGCTTATCATCAACCAATAGTTGGTTACCTCTCATCCCATGCGTCCCTGTATCGACCAGCTATCATGAATCAGTGTCCAATCACAGGTTGATGGGCCAGGCAATGTACTGGAACAGGATGGATCGGAAATATGGTTGCCTGTCGATCCTAGAAATCGATATGATGTTTGACATATTTCGGTGTTTCCTTCATGCTATATCAATGAACCCTGCCTCTTCTACAATCCTGGCTTATTCGTGGTCAGGCAGACTACGATGTCCACTGAATGGGTGGAAGAGCTGCTTTATTGACCCGGCGGCGCTTGAGTTTATACCCATGACCTCTTCGGTTGTTTTCGGCTTTCAGGACTCTCGGTCTGATTGGATAGCATTGCATATACCATATCGCAATCGTGCTTGTTTCCTACAATGCAGGGGTCCTCCAGACCTCAGTTTGCCTCAGATATCCGTGTTTTGGTACGTGTACTTTCTTCAAGTCGGGGTCGTCAAGACGTCGATTAATGTGTTTTGACTGAGATATCATTCCTACTCCTGAGGTTGCGATGAGAATATGGCAGTTGAAGCGGGTCAGTCCCGGTCTGACATGATATATTTCAGCCCCACACTCTGGGCGTTGTTTTCAAACACATGCACACACACGCACACAACACACGTGTGTCCGCAAAGGGGATGGCCCCACAATCAGGGCACAATACCGTAGAATTCTGCTCAGGCCCTTGCTGACGGTGAATAGAGTGAGTGTCACATACGTACAAGGGTAGCCATGCGCTGAGAGGGCACGATAAGGTGACCCCTCAGAGCGCCCGAGAGCGTCAACATCGAAGGAGCGAGGTGCATCCGGTCGGCGAAAGCATGGGAAGCTTCAGCAGGTTATTGAAGGAATACCCATCGACATAAGTAGTTCCGGGGGTATGTTTTAGTGCGGATTGTGACTGACTGTCTCTTTCATCATGTCCCATCTTGAACTGTGGAACCTACTATGGAAGGCTTCACGAGAGCAGTACGCGTCCGAAATCCCACTGGGTCTCACGGTCAGAGCAGGAGTTTGTCTTGTTAGGCTTGTGGGTCTCATTGTCAGGTACGATGTTCTGATCCGTCCTCTTCCCCCTTGTTCACATTTTCAAGCTTTGCAGCACTTTCACGCGTTCACCGCCCGACTGGTATTTGAGGACACCAGTACGCAGGATCTTCCCTCTCTAGTAACAACATCACAACTAACTCCATGAGCGCAGACAGTCATCGGAGTTGTGCGACGAGTGAGTACTAGAGTGGGAAAGGAAATGACACAATAAATTCAGCCCACTACAATACATGACTTAGAAGCCACCCTTGTTGGACCGCTCAAAAACAACATGTCTATGATATTCAAAAGAAAAACGAAGGAACGCCAGCAACCAGTGCGTGCCAGACACCCAAAGGCACAGTGTGGGAAATTAAGCAAACGTGAGAATTTCCGTCGATTCTTGTAACGCTTGGAAACCGTTGTAACGCATTGAAACGGTTAAAAAGCGTTAAATATAACGCCTCGAAGCGAACAATCGAGTAAGCCTTGAGAGCGTTGGAACGGCGCGTGCTGTTGAGAGGCGTTGTAACGCTTGGGCGGTGTTCTCCGACAGAGATATTACGTAATTGTGCCACAGCGAAGTGACCCTAATCGCCCTGACTTGAACCTCGTTTCTGCCTCAAAAGTCTGGGCGCCCTTAAGAAGGGTTCTTGATATGCAAAAACATTCTGCGGAAGGCAAGTAGGCATTTCGATGTTTGTTGGCACATGTTCGCTTCCTGGATGCGCAGGCTTTGGAAGCTGCGTCAGGACAGTCAAGCGTCATCCCCACGCGAGAGGAGGGGGGTTTTCCCTGCCGTGGTGACTGCGTGCGTTAGGTCGCGAATTCCGAGCCGGTTATACCGGATCTGCTATATTAGACGCTGAAATTTGAGTATTGATGACTTGTGAATCACATCTAGACGGGGTGGAGGATCGAATCCGAACGAGAAATGTGAGGTGTATGTATTCCCAAAATTTAACAAGGTGAACCATCTTCACATCGTTTTTCAGCAACCGCGGTGCCCTCCCGTAAACGTATTCGGTCCGCTCGGACTCTCGCCGACGATGATGAATACAGTAAGCGTCACGTACGCATGGAACTGGTCGTGTGGTAATTGGCCTCGTAAGGCTGCCCCTCGGACTCGAGAGATCATCCTATCGCTAAGCGCCCCAAAGCGCCGACGTCGAAGAAGCAGGGAGGAGGCACTTCCGGACGCAGAAAACATGGAAAGCTGAGGCGCGTTATCCATGACATGCCTATTGAGATTGTCTTTGAGGTATTTATATTCCAATGTTCTTCTGTGGGTGACGGTCCCTTTCACCACCAGGCTGGCAGATCTGTTCTCATCTCGACCCACGGGACCTACTTCGGCTCGTACGGTCTGCAAAGGTATTCGCGCGGTACCTACTACGGCCAGGCGCTGCCGGAGTATGGAAGGCCTCGCGAGAGGGGCATGCACCCGACATGCCGCCGATTCACCCAGATCTCACAGAGCAGAGGTATGCCTTGTTAGGATTTGGGTCTCATTGCCAGGTACGAGTCACTCTGTTTGTCTTCACCCTTTTCCACAATTTTATGATGCCCCGATGTAGCTTTGCGCCACTTTCACCCGTTCATCCACTGACTGGTCTTTGCAAGTTCGATGGTGTTCCAAATGTCGTGAAAATCAGTGCGCATTACCAATTTTTTTCGCCTCGTGAGAACATTACGGCCCAACATGTCAAATAGACTGTTATCGCAGTACTGCGACATTGATGGAGTTTTGTCGTCAGTGAGGGTGGATCGCGTCTGTCTCAGACAAGATCTCCTTCTCCGCCAAACGTTCATTTCCTTCCGTAGGCAAACATACCGCTCGGTCGAGCAATTCCACTAACTCACTTCCAAGGACGCCCTCCAAAACGCGTGGTTCTTGTTTGTCCAAAGGAGGAGCTTGAATTGTTTACGTTGAAGGCAGTCGCAAGTAGTGATGAGTCATGGGAGTCGTATGTTTCCCAACAACGGGCAAAAAAGCAGGCATTGGAGGAAGTAAGCTAATTCTCGTTCCGTCACTGATCTCAACCATAAATTTCCTGCAGCACGCAACATTATGTACGGAGTGGACGAAAGGCCGTATCTCTCAGAGAGAAAACGAGCTGGACCTTATTCGCGCTGCCCGCAAGAATGCGTGAGCCTCCTTCAGGTTGATGTTGTCAATAACTCACTGCCGAACGCGCACAGGGTACGGTCGAAACTGGAGAATATGGGATTTCTAAAAGCATTTGTTGACCATGCTGTCGCGGGTGAATTCCCAGGACTTCGGGTGGCCAAGCCTTTGTTGGACAAAGGTTGTCTGATTCTGTCGTCACCGATTAACCAACCTGACTCCTTGTAGATTGGGCTACAATTGAGCTGAATGCCATTCTAGCCGTCAAGGGATGCGAAAGGTTCTTCACCGACACCTACAGTTATTACGCAAGGGAGGCCATTATATCACACTATTGCTCCTGGTATGAATGTCGCGATCCAGGGAGGGAGTTCTGGCCCATCCCCCCCTCAATTTATAAGATCCCCAAAGTCAAGGTGCGACACGTTGGATGTGTATCCTGCAACTATGTTTCTCTGACACCTGCAATTAAAGAAAGCGCTCCGTGAAATTTTGATGCCTAACCTCCATAACATCGATGTTAGCAATTATTCTGAAATCCCTGACGTAATTCTTGGTCCCTTGATGCTCCGCTTCGAGGATATTTCCAATGACCACTCGACGAATAGCAAGAGGGAATGGTTGGAGATGATCCCTCCGAAGCTACGATTATCTTCCGTCGAGGAAACACTCTGCCTCGCTCGATCTGTTTTCATGCACAAGCCTTCCACAAGATATGATGACCCTGTGTACGGTCAAAGGTATCCTAATCTCGGGCATTTTTTTCTGCAGTGGCAATGGGACGATTTGGGATCACGTATCCTGATCAGCATCATGGCATCAGCTGGGTACAATTCTGAGACCATGACGTTTACACAGCTGCTGGAGGAAAACATCCATGTCGAATGTGTCACCTGCACTCTAGCTGGGAGTGCCACAATATTGGAAGCCGCTAAAGCGGTGGGTACCTAACCATATTTTTTCTAATCTTGGATGATCGACATTCTGAGCGAAAGGTGCACCACGGGCATAATTGCTTCCGCCGTTTTCTCTATGGCGGTGAAGAGCCAAGATTCCGCGTTCTGGAGGGTATGGAACTTGAATCGGCTAGAGCATCGAGTACAGTGAATGGACAGTGGGAATGCTTGCTTTGCAAACCTTGTGTCACAGATTCGGAAGACATGATTCTTGAGCACATTGCATCTGCGTAAGCGTTAGGTTCGGGGAACCGGAAAATCTCATGCCTCTGACTATGTCACTTCATCTAGGCATCCTAACGCACGTCCTGATTTACAATATTGCTACAAAGGACCAAACCATCAAACTCCGAGGAAGCCTATTCCGGTACGCCTGGCTTTGGAAGGTCGATGACCAGCTGTTGATGATTAACGGTCCTGGGTCCCAGCGTCATATTCTGACCTCCAATGTGGGATGAGTAATCAACTGAATTATGCAATTCAGGCGTGAAATCGTACTACATAGAACCGAGTAGTTGGAACTGTGCAAGTTGGGGTTGCATCTACTCCGATATGTGCAATGATCCTAGCTATTGGGGATGGATGATACAACTCAATGTAATGGCTGGTAATCCCCATGTAAGACGGCGTGGTAGCTCGACTGCTGTTAGTGGCACTGATACGAGAGGAGTATATATATGCAGGGTCGGCCGTATCCAAGAGGTGCCCATGACCACATATGCAGATTATATTAGTTGTTCCAAACATACTCACACCATGATCGATCTAGGTGTACACGTTCTTATCGGAGGCATCAGGGAATAATCAGCGTCGACAGCTAAATTGGCTCTAGTTGTTCAGAATGCTGATTGCTAGCCGCAACTGTTTGATAGAACATTTTACAAGGACACGCATACTAGTTGGTAATGCTCTATCATTGAATTGTGTAGGATAGTAATGTCTCCTAGCCGTTGGCGATACGTATTCTCGATAGGATACTCACGTCGGCTGTGCATAACATTTCACTAACGAAATGACATATTACCACAACAACCGTTACGGGAAAACGAGTCAGCGATCTTGTGCCCATGGGGGAATCTCTTATCCGTCCAATGTGGAGTTTGACCGACTTATCAAGTATGGGGCTTCACGGCGGAGACATGTGAATGCAAGACTTCGCAGTGATAGCATGATAGAGATAGGAGAGAAGGCGGCGAGTCTTATCTTTTACGGTAGCAACAAAGGGATCGCCCTGAGGAAAGTGTGCCGTCCAAACCATTCGCTCTGCAGCTGGAAGAATGGCCGTGGTCGAAAAAGTGCATGACACCTATGCGTAGTTCAAATTGTGAATGCCAGCAAATCGTTGGCCAAGTTCACGAGGCTCGGAGAAATGTACAAGGTCCTTATCGTGAGTACGCTTGGTAGAGCAATCGCAACGCCCGGTCCCACATGACGAGAAGCACGCAAACAACGATAGCAAGCCGCCACTAGCATACAAGGGGTGTGGCGTCAGCTGCCTGTCGCGCGATGCACGATCGGGGATAAGCAGCTAATAATTTACCAATCCAGGCATAGAGCGATCAAGGATTTCGCTGATTGTTCCTTTGTGTCGATCGGGTGAAAGGGTGCAGTAACAGGATAAGGCAAATCCCTCACAAGCAGTGCCGATAGAGGGCGTTTACTACGGTTAGGGGGGCTCTCCCTTTCCCATGCATGATCGGGTGGATAAGGAACAGACGCAGCGTCAGGACATGCACACGTGCAAGGCTTTTAACGACGTTCGAACAGCCAAATCAGTATAGCAGTACTAATTGGGTCAGAATTGATCGCTAGAGCGGAAGAAATATGCGATAAGACGGAAATTACCTTCATCGAGATTATGTGGGCCGAACACATGGGATACAGAACGTCCTACGCAGCGACAGATGCTGGATTTCGGTCTATCCAATATCATAGAGGCTGAGGTCCTGCCTAGGGTTTCGGGTAGACCCTAGGCCTGCAATTCCGCCACAACCAACGTCGAAGGAGGGCCTTGCGGCGGATGACCAGCACCCTGCGGAAAGGTGCATGGGCCCTACATTTCAACCACAGCTGGTATCGTCGAAGGAGCGGAGTGGGATGTTCATCATCACGTTGGGTTGGAAGTCGCGAATCCCCAACTAATACAGCTGCAAAGATACACAACTCATAGGGGAGGCTATAGTGTCGCCGTGTTGCAAGTTATCTAAGCCCCGCTCATACCACGGCGTTAGAACAACATCCCCAAAAGCTTGGTTTGCGACCAATCCTTCTGCTTTTCTTCTCCCCATGCAGGTCCGGTATTTACAATCCCCTCAGTTGACTCGAAGATATTAGTTAGCCAAGCTTAGGTGGCCTTGTTAGTTAACTCCTCGTCATCCTTACAGCTCAGTGTTTGGTTCATGCACTCCGATCCCCAGTATTTGTATCAGGGCTAAAGCTACTCCCTACAAGCATACATTCTTACCGGACAAGGCACGGAGAGGGCCACGCATATGTGCTGGCCCATGAGCGACTGGTCTCCCGCAGCCCTACCAGATTATCGAGCGCGAAAGGACATGACTCCGCTACTAGTAGCTTATACCGACAATGGTTCGCGAGTGCCCTACATCCTGAGACCGGTGTCCAATGTTTCGGATTCTCGGATTACGATGAATGCACAGCCAATAATGCAGTGCCGGATGGATGTAGCTGGTTGTTGTCCGTCCTCTTCCAGTTGGTAACCAGCCCTGCGGCTAACATCGCTGGCGTTGTTCTATGGTTGGTCCGGCATTTCGCATGACATACAACAGGGAGTCATTTCTCCGCCTGGCCGCAGACATATGTATGCCGCACAGTTTATCACTCCACCATCTCCATCGTTGGTGTGTTGTTCCCAAGCGGACTGGAGACATTGGGCGGCGGCGGAGTCGGAATTATGGTCATAATTGTTGACTGTTGCCTTTCTCATCAATATGCAATCTGCAAATAAAGCGGTCACGGAATCCAGTGGATTGACCACATCTCGGCTATTCATTCGCAACTTTGTATCCAATGATCTCTTGGCTGTCCTGAGCGTGCTAGGTGTATGATAATGGTAGGTGCGCGTGGACGATAAGAATATAAACTTCTCTCGATCGTATTGTTTTCTCGATCCTCCCTTCCTGAGACACTAAGGGGGTTCGTCTGCGCATTAGCCGACGGCCGATACTGGAGATGATATATTGGAGGACTGAGGAAGTTGTGTGTAAGGATTATATCGTGAAATTTATGTAGGGTGAGGCGTCAGGGCGAGCATACTTAGGTGAGAGTTAGAGGTGGTGAGTATATTTGTATATTTGGCAGGATCCGGAAATATTCGGCGTCTGCAATGCACCGGCTAGCGATATAACTCGCTTTATTAGATTGGCAGCTCATCCGACTTGGGAATACTTAGTTTTGGGTGCTAACATGATAAATTAACTTTTGGCTTCGCTCGCTCTAGCTCTGTTTGGGACGCTTGACCGCTTATATAATGTATGTGATTAATTTTGTACAGCGTGGGTATGCACAATTCAGGAGGAATGATTAACGAAGAGCGGTCGTTGTATTAGGTCCATGCCTCTATTGGTTTTGTTGGCCGGTCCGGTCCAATAATCAAACATGCCTTGAGGATATATTCGGTTGGAACGAACAAGGGCCGCTTGGACTTGCTGCATCTGAATGTATTTTTAAATGTGGTAGATAGTCGTGTGACCCTATTACAAGGATTCGAAGTTGAAGGGCAGTCGTAGGTGATCAGAGCTCTCCTGACGTGACAGGGAAATCGCATCGCAGTTGCGTTGGCAACCTGTAGGCTGTAAGACAGGTATTGCAAGGAGCAGGCAAGGACAATCTAGCGCGCAACGGGTTTTTTGCCCTTATGCATGTTCTCCAGTTTTCCACAGAAATGTTGTCTTCTCTTGCGATTCGAGCCGAATAACTGGAGAATTTCACCACGTTTCAGTGATTGACAGAGAGCAACAACCGGCAAGTGGCCAGGGATTGCATGACCCTATCTAATGATAGCAGAATACAGGACAGAAGCTTTTCTCAAGTGGGTCACTCTAATCTAGATAACGACAAGCGAAGGGCCGGTGAGAGCGTGCATGGAATGTCCAAGCGAATGAACAACCCTTAGAGAATCAGAAATGAGAATCCTGTTCGGAGCACTTAGCCGTATATGGTCAGGCATGTAAGGGACTTTAAATTGCCATTCATAGTTTATATTTGTTTGGTTCGCGAATGATCTTTTACATCTGCAAGGGCGTCATTTGTCTAGGTCTTTAAGTGGCTCAATCTGTTGTCGTGTCTCATCGAAGCAAGGCTACGGTACGGTTTAATCATGTCATATAATGAGCAACTTGATTCTGATGCATGTGAGAACATGGAAGGGCTGTTGTACGTACTCGACGACCTTGTTGCCAGAATTATACACACACACCTTGTTGAGTCGAGGTTTATCGACGGAGTGATTTGTTGAGATCACCCCAGCACTCCGGTGTAACAGGTTCACTTGGGTTGCTACATATATAACTTTGGAACCCCTAGAAACAAATAGCATTAGGGTAATCGTTGTTGGTCGGCGGAACTAACATCAGGTCCGGTTTGGTGAAGTAAAGCCCAAACAATGTCCCTTACCACACTGGGCCGTGGGTAGGTATGATTGAAGACGTTGGTGTGCGCCACCAGTGGTGCTTAACACTCTGTCGTAATCTTTGAAATTGCTTGTGCGGCGGGGTCTCCAAGCTGCGCACTCTCACAGCCTAGAGCTCAAGCAGGCGGCGCAGCAGCACAAGAGGGACGATCAGGGTTACTCACTACTCGGTTGGGTGCATCGCCATTACTGGCAGCAATCAATGCCTCGGTAAGCGAGCTCCATTACGAAATTCGCTTGGAAGTAGGAATGATAAAGCACCGCTCTTCGGCCTACTTGGAGCCGCTGGCGACTTATGTTTCAAGAAGGGAGAATCTGGTCTTCTGCCATGTCGATATAGGACCTGTACGTGCGACAAGGGAGGTGTCATATTGGACTACTTGAGGTTGGATCGTACGGAAATCCAAGGGAAAATGAACGACCAGGCCGTGGGTGTGGTAAATTGAGTGGATAGAGCATGGCCCATGCGCGAGGTTTTGGAAAGAAGTCTGTAGGGAGAGTTGGCAATTCATTTGCCTTGGGACCTCTGGAAGCGCTTACTGTAGGTGGGGATTGGGCCTTTGATTCCCTTTTCAAATATGATATTCTCTTTCTCCGAATTAGAGGATGGTGGTGTGTATGGTGCCCCACTTAGTGATCCCCTTCCCCCATCCCTGTTTTCGTTCCCTTTGTGGGCTCCCGTGAGTCCGGCTGTTCATGGATCGGCCCTGTTGCGCTCTGGTCGAGTCGATAATGGGACTAGTACTCGACAACTGCAGATGTGAACGCTCGCCTCGATCAATCCCTTCTTGGCGTACCTCCATGTTTGCGGCATGGTACAAAGGCGATTCTTCTGTAATTCGTGGATGGGAGAGTTCTTCTATGACTCTGCATCATTGATCAACTCCAAAACTCGATAACCGATAATTCGAGCGGCTCATACTTGGGTAATCCGCTCCCCACTCGCCAACACCGGTTTTTTTCTCTCGCCAGGCATTCTGAATCCCCGTGCCCGTGCACACGCTCCCACTGGCAAAATATCGTAGCTGCGTGTTCCTGCTACTGCCCCTGTTGTATATCATTCCATGGTCCGCGAATGGCGTTGGTGCAGCCGTGAAGTCTAGGCCTACCGCCGGGGCACGGCGGCACTGTGTTCCAAGTGGCGAACAGCGGGCCACCAAACAAAGAGCATACATAACTTCAAACGCTCGTGCGTCATTAGGGGTGTCCTTAGCCTCGTACAATCTTGCATCCTCGAATGGCGCTTGAAGGTGCTTCTCGTTATACAGTCGAGCACGCATGACGTCAACGCAATAGGAGTGTTCTAACGTGGCATCTTCCATTGCCGCTTGCTGCGTGGCAGGCACACGATTCTCAGCGTGATGCCCGCTCTCTTGGCTAAGCTAGCACCATAACTCGTATGGGATAAATCTACCTGCGGTATCTACCATCCACCAGGGATTAGCAAACAAACTCTTCCGACAATCCGTAAACCGAGACAATATCTCGCGTTTGAGGATCGTTGCGTCTTCAAGTTATCTTTACCGGTGCTGTAGCAGTCCTTTCCCAGAATGCTCTCGGCCTGCTCGTTAGGACATCGTGCAGATCTCCTCGTCCGAATATACCCATTAGCTCGAGCGATCATCAGATTTCGAACTCCCTGACAATGGGTTCGTTGCTGGTTCTCGGCGTCCCCAACGCCAACGCATCATGAAGGACAGCATCGCAAACATCGACTAATCTGCATATGGATCCAGGACAGCCATAGTGTTGGGGAAGACATTAGGTCTCAAATCTACCTTTATATCCTGGAGTTCTGGGGTTTCATGCAAACGAAGAGTAGATGGCTCACCGTGAAGGGCGATACTCCCGATATACACACAGGGACCAAAGCTGGATCTGGAAGGATGGTCTCACTTGAACATAACGTATTCTTCCATCGGGGCTGCCACGGTCCACGGTGACGGTTGAATCGATAACTTAACGAGGGACTCGCCCTGATAAGGCATTCCTGAACTACCCCATATTCCACTGGTTCAGGATGCGTAGCGTAACTCGTTTGCCTTTAGTGCTCTGCAGGATCGGATCATCAATTTTCTTCCGGAGTTTAAAACACAAGGCTCAGCGCATGCAGCTGGCAATTAGCAGAACGCAATCAAGAAGCTCTGCGGAAGAGCCATTATCTGCAAGAACTCAAGTTCATCGTAGATTTGGTTGATAGCTTCCGGCGCTCCCGAAAGATGGGCTGCACGACAACAAGCTGCATGGATAGCTACGAATCTAGGATCGGGAAGCCCGCCGAGGATCAGTGGAGGTAAAGCAAACCTCTTCTGGAAGCCCGGCAAGGGGGGCTTACACCGCTATTTTTCTGGCTTCAGCCACCAGAGCAGGAGAACAAATGGCTAACGTTCATCGTGATGATGTTTGATAGAGGGCGTGGATAATCTCGGGGAGAATGCCTCCAACGCGACTCAATACTGCTAGTGCTCAATAGTTATGACAGCATTTCAGTCCAAAGTGCATGTTGGTGGGAAGTAAGCGTACCTTGTTCGCGTTTTCCTTCTCCTGTTTCTCATCACTGGATCTCGATTGGAATTGATGCTAAATGTGATGATGTGCGCGACATTGGTGATCATGATTGCACCTAAGCATGACGCTTATATCGAAGTGTCCACAGGTTGAGCGGTTAGCGTCACGCTTAAGTGGCTGTAGTACGCTCATATCAGCATTGACAATAAAATCGAAACAATTGCATTGCCAGACGCTTCGCTGTGCTGTGGTCTCCAGGGGCGCGATCCTGTAGAATATCCTTCATCACATTGGCGGAAGGGCGACTTGAGTGTTCCGAGGGAATAGGTGTTGTGCCTCCTTGGGGTCTAACACATGGGGGATTCTGCTTAAGAGGAAGTCTCGGTACAAATTTGATAAGTCGCAGCATCTTCCTTGCAAGAGCGTCTTTCGCAGGTACAACCTATAGAGGGGGCTACTTTCCAAAATTGGGGCTTCTGAAAAGCTGACCGTCCAAGTTTCCCGATGAGGTATTGAGGTATTCACACTCGTGTCGCGGCTCGTGGCAGCCGGAGGATCATCGGTATTGACACTCCAACCAGATTAGACTTACGTATGGGCGCGGGAGAGGAGGAAAGTGTGACTACGAAAGCCAAAGAAACCATCAGTATGTATAAGCGCTGAACTTCCTGCGTCGGACAGTCATGCTATCATCCAGGGATATTTCGGCAAGTCCTTGCTTGTAACATCGCGCCACTTCCTTGATCGGAAATCCCCTCCAGGAAGACATCTATGCGGCTGGAATTCATCCCATCATCTGGAAGTTTGGGAAGCCGTTGTCCGAGGAGATAACATCGATGAAGGATACCTGGTCATTCCCATCTCCAACGGGGTCGCAGGGCGATTCTTTCATCCAATGGCTTGGGGACCTCGAGGGAGTCCGATACTCAGAATAGTTCTTGACCTCGACGTCCATTTCCGGAAACTGGGCTGTAGCGTAATGGCCCGCATACCGCAAGGATTATCCTGATTGCACGGCTATGAGGACCCACAATTCGATATACAGTAAACCGAGCATTTGTGCTTACCACAACGTTTGAAAGTCTCAATTTGAGATCTCCAGGTCATCTGAGACTGAATACCCAGTTCAAAGGCGAACGAAGACCTCCATCCGCTGGATCGAGTGTAAAACAGGAATCTATGACAAAGAAATCAAGTATCGAGACCTCCCCTTGATGGCTTCTACGCAGCTCTCAAAAAAGCCGCTTCAGCGCCCTGTTACTGCATGGGAAGTCTCATCCTTTACGTATAGATGTGTGATGAATGCATGAGCGTCTTTCGAACTCTAGTCATTTCTCGGACCAAACCAATTCTTCTCTAGCTCGAGGACTTTGCAATCAAATTCGAATGAAGACATAAGCCGATGGTACTCCACTGACAGCAGACCATAACGTTGAATGTGCGTAATCTACAACTATCGAAAACTTCCTGAGGGCGTATGTAGATGTGTCTTCTCCGCCAATGTTCACCGCTAGGGGTTGTACGTCACCGGGGGATAACAATTACCAGGATTATGTAACGCCAAAGGCCGAGTTCAATCACCGCCCACGTTCGCACAACACTACCTAAGTGAACTGATGAGAGTTGTTCTGGCCAATGCCCTGCATATATTGCTACTTTCCCACGACTGCCGCAGCATAGGATGCGCAGCGAACGATAGTTCCAGGGATGATTGTGGCGGAGCAGGTGGAGAGCTATAAATACTATTTAGTTCTTGCTTCTTTGCTCCAGACGACTGACTAGCGTCAACAAATATGTTCGGATTTTTCATGACGAGTCAGCCTAAAGCGACAAGCAACATCCAAACCCAACAGCCTGGTGCTACCCAGATGGGTACGTCTCTTCGCGTTCTGGTTCAGATCGTTGAACCGCTGACCGACACATTGGTTTTGGTGATAACGCGCTGATCGTTGGTTTCGGGGTGTTCCTAATAGTCATCCCCTCCCAAGCACCCCCAGAGTCGCAACAGACCCAATCGCAGACAAAGGCCCCCCTCCGTCTCCGTGGAGGAGGTAACTTCATCAAGGATTGTTTCATTTGTTGCTTGTGTTGCTGTGCTTTGGTGCGTTCGCATAGACCGAATATATAATGTATATCTTATTTTTTATTGATCGGCATGGTTTCGTTCTATTTTTAGGAGGACATTTGTGTACGTTCATCTGTCCTATTGTGTCCTCTTTGTCGTTCATCACGTATCGTTCGCTTTAGTGCTGCGAGATTGAAGAGTGTTGCGGTTGCTGCAACTGTATGTTCTCACTTGTCCTCAGTCTCCCTTCTAACGACTTGATTGTCACACAGATGATGATTAGGAGAACTCGGACCTCGCTCCGCGGACCCGCAGGCGTGTTTGAGTCGGACTTGAAAGCAGGCTCGATATGCAATTGGACTTTCGCACTCCTGCACGTAGTTAGGGACTTATCAAGCTATCAGAATCAGGTTTTCATTATTGGTACCAGTTTTCGATCTCCATAGCAGCACTTCTACGACATCATGAATCGCGACATTGGGGTTTTTGATGTCTTTCATCTCGCGTTTTTGCGTGAAACTGTGAGGGCTCTGCTTTCGCCAGAGCCTGTATTTATGCATCCCGGACAAAGACATTGCAGGCAATCGTGCCTAGATATTCAGACACATCATCGAAATAGACCGTGGATAAATTGAGAGCTGCGTCTTCGTTGAGCAAATTTGTATTGAAAATACAATTATGTAATTGACGTGAACGGCGGACAGATTCACGCGGAAAGCAATATTCAACCTCACTGCTTCAACAGCTCCTGTGTTCATTTCCGAGGCCCCTGCCCGTCATTTTGCTAGTGGTCATATTATGGCCACCGGAATAACTCGTCCGGACTCGAAAAAAGGCCCAGACTGCTTAATTGCTGTGTACATGATACTGCTCCATGTAGTATTTTTCCTTCGGTCAGCTTATGACGCAAGTCATCAGGACAATTAACCCAGATAGCTTGACAACCATTGCGATGACGATAGCCATCCAAACACCGAACTAAAATTTTGTTCACGCCCACCGCTGTTTTCGTTCTCTAGTTATATATATCATCTATCCAAAGACAATCGTTCCCGAATCTCTAACCAAGCACGATACTCAGTATCAATAACTTCCTGAATCATGGTTGATTCCCTCAATCATTTGAGGAAGATGACACTACATGCAAGAATGTTTTCATCCGGTGTTTGTGCTGTTGTTGTTGCTAGGTTTGTGCAATTTCCCAAGTTTGAAGCTGAACATTACCGTTAATCCTGTGGTGCTCACGTTCTTTCGTGCCTATCCCCCTGGACGAGCAAGTTGGTCGCCTGGATCACATACCTCAGAGTTGTCTGTGAGTACCATACTCATTGTTGTTTGTAAATAAGATTCTTGCCCACGGCGCTCGTGAATGCCTGACCATTATTGTGCACCACTAACTTAACCGTCTGATTTCAATTCCGCCATCCCAGTGTTCCCTACCATACCCCCCAGTTCGTTCGGTGGTTCGTGATGGTTGCTGTTGGACATCTCTACTTAATACAATGATTTTTTCTGGTAAACATGGGTAGGTTGTCGGAATAATGCACTTCCGTATTGAAGATACAACATAGATTCGTCACTGGTACAACACCCGCCAGCCCACTCTGCAGGGCATACTTTCAAGATCTACGACTCCCCTCACCGTCTTCTTCAACCGGACCTCTCGGGGAATGAAGAGGAAGCAATAGTTTGTGGTGACTCAGAGTTGTCGACGAACTCGAGCCGTTTGTCGATGGGCGTTGGTCGAACGGGGAATGTCCCGTCCTTTGGTGCGCTGGGGTCGAGTAAACGGACTGTTACGCTCCCGTCCTGTAAGTGAAGGCCCAGCTTGGGTGAGAATGGGCGAAGCAAATGAGAAATGAATCGTACAGCTTCGCCAAAATAGGCCGCCTTTGCCATCCCACAGAAGAGTCCCACTTCTACAACACCTGTGAGCATTTTTATCCGGGACAATAACTAAAACTTGTAGGTAAGTATCCCTTCCCCATGAGAAAACACAATTCACCTCAAAAGGATGTTTCATGTACTCCTCTTCAAAGGGTGCGTCAATG